CGGCTTCCCCACGGAGCGCCGCCGGGGCGCCCCTTCCCCGCCTGGGAATCTCCTGCTACCTAGTCGGCTTCAGCTTTGGCAGCAGCTGACGAGTGGGTCTACACTGTCCATCTGGTGCAGTCTCAGCTTTGCTGCTAGCAGCTAGCTTGGCTGCTTAGATACACTACAAGATCATGCCGGAGCACCAAGATGGAGAAAACCAAGTAGCTCCCCAGCAGAAATCCGTGACAGTGAGAGCCAGTTCGTGTATCAAAGAGGGTCAGGCACACCAAGTACAGTACGTCCTGCACTGGTTCTCCTGGCAGACCAAAAAAAGCCTCCACGCCCCAAGGGATACCATCCCTCAGCAACACTCTGTAAAGCTGGAAGTCTCTCAGGCCTCCTGAGCAGTTATCACTGTTTGGCCCTTGCTTGTGCATTTAGCTACACTTCTCCTTAGCAACCATCCAGATCCCAGCTTGACTTGCCACCAGGCAGGAGCAGGTGTGCAGAGCGTGTCGCACGCACACTCAGAGTCGTGTCTGTATGTGCACAGGCTGGGCACTGACTCCCAGTCTGCTCTCCCGAGGTGGGGACCCACACTGCTGGCATGGCATGATGCCATTGGCAGGGGCCTGCAGCTGCACAGGGAACTGGGTGCTCTCTTCCCCACAGGTATGGATGCTTGCAGACAGTTTACTGGTGCTGAAGAATGGACACCAGTCCTGCCACAGTGCTCTAGACGTCTTCTGACTCAAAAATTCTGCTGTTCTTGCCTGCCAAGGACAGTTTTGAGCTTTCTTCATCATCTCAATCCCTCTTACAGCCTTTTAGGTAACTGCCATGACCAACCCTCCTCTGCTGACATCCCCATCAAAGCTGTCTCACTCATCTTTGAGTTCAGCTATGTGTATTTTCTCTTTTTCTAGCTGCTCTATGCCAGCTACAGAAATCAGACAGCATCACATGCAGAGTTTTGTCTGTTCTTCTGCTTCTCCCAAGGTCCTCACAGTTTTGTTTATGAGTTTTGGTCCATTTTTCTGAGCCTGGCTTCACCTGTTTAAATATTTTTTAAATATTTTTCCAGTGTCTACATACAGTTCTGATCCCCTCATCTCAGAAAGGATAAAACAGAACAGAAGAAGGTTTGGAGGCAAGCAGTAAGGATGCTCAGAGATATGGGAACAGACTCTACAGTGAACAACTGTGTAAACTGGGACTCTTCAGCTTGGAAGGACAGAGTGGAGAAGAGGTCTACAAAATCATGAGTGGCCCAGAGAAGATGGGGAAGATTGACTGTTTCCTGTGTCTTCTGACACAAACCTGTCAACTGCTTTCGTCTTGACAGGAGCCTCAAAAGCACAAGAAACCACTGTGCTGCAGATATTATGTCCAAAGGTTTAGCCTTCTTTAGCCCATACTTCTTGCAACACTGGGGGCGAAGTTCATGGCAAGCCTTTGAGAGACGTGCTTAAGCGTCCTGCCTCAGAAACATTTTGTAACCATGTTTTCACGTGGAGAGCTCAGTCAGGGCCAAGTGGAGCTTTACCAAATTGTTCAACACAAAAATATTCAGAGCTGGGAGGAGAATGAGTTGGACAAATCCCAGCCCTGAGAGAGAGTCCTCCAGAGGGTTGTATCTTGCAGGAACCCTCTTGTAGGGGAAAAAGCATGAGACTGAGACTCTAATTTTTCTGCTGCACTGCCAACCCCACGGCAGCCTGCCAGCGTGAGTGATGTGGCCTCCTGGGCTGGTCGTCCTGTTCGAGAGAAGAAATCCCACTTCCGTGATTCTTCCCTGGAAAGTAAGAGGAATTGAGAGGGTGCTACATTTTCTAGGACCACAAGAGGGCAATATGAGAGCACCCTGTAGCCAGCAGGTTCAGCAAGGCGACCTGTGACGCTGCTGGGATGTGGATGGCATGGGCAGCTCTGTGCAGGTTCAGCATCACCCTGTCCAGGGCCCGCCCAGTTGAATTAGCCAACTGAAGGCTGCTCCCTGGGAGCCCTTGCTTTCAGCTTCATACACACCCTCAGAGGTGAGCCGTCAGCTCATGCAGCAGATTTAGTGCCATAGTTTGGGGCAGCAATATCTTCCTGCACATATGGGTTGTACATGTGGTAACAGCAGACCTTTCTGCATGCTGCATGGGGCCGGGCCATGGGATGCAGGGTGCCTCCCTTGTCCTGCCTGCATGTCCACCAGGGTGGGTGAATGTGCACTGACATGTGGCTTCAAACAGGAGGGTTCAGCATCTGTGGTGATGCTGCTGGGCCTGGCCAGTGGAACAGGTATTAAACCACACAGAATTTTGAACACCTCAGCCTCACCATCCTTTTTCACACCCTTGTTGCACAAAAAAAAAACGGAAAAAAAAAGCCCACCAAACCACCACCCCCCAAAAAAAGGTAGAAAGTGTTAAAGAATCAGAATTCAGCTTTAACTGTGACTGCTAGACAAGCTAGTGCCTCCAGCACACACTGAAATCACTCACAGCCATGGTAAAGTGCATTACCATTCCAGGCACTTTTTTGCAATAGCCTGTATGTATAATTAACCTGCAAGGGACAGTTTGCTCTGTTTTTCCAAGAACAGGCATGACAGAGAAACAGCTTCTGTTAGCAGGCAGAGCTACAAGAGTGTGCATGTGCTAAGGCTGAAATGCGACCAGCATCTTGTAGCAGAGACAGATGAGGAGATGATGGTGAGGGATGGTGTGTAGAATATTACTTTTCAGTAGGGTAGTACAGGTTGCTCATAAGAAATTAAGAGATGTTTGCAAAAGAGGAGGAGCAAAGGGATGTCTGGGGGACACTTTTTAGAGGGAAACTCTGTAACCAACAGCTGTATGAGGGAAATTGGGATAACTGGTCATGGAAAAAGAAATCCCTGGGGCACATAGGTGGTACTGTTTATGCCTCTGGAGTTATTTATTTTCAATGAAGAATGCTGGAAAGGTTTTGCCTGCTAAAGATATTTTTACCATGGAAATAACCAGGTTTGCTTCTACTCTTGCTTCTACTACAAACCTGCCCATACAGCCTAAGCAACATTTTAAGGCCCAGCCTGTAGTACCCCACCTCACTGAACTATGGATACTGTCTCTACTAACCCAATTACAACTCATGTGGCTTATGCTGTACCTGTACAGCACACTGATGGCATGAAGCACCCACACTTCCCTGCTGCACATTGATAAGACCAAGGCCTAGGGTATTTGTCTCAAAGGAACACCAAATAACCTGTCTTGGACTTCTACTCATCACCAGTTGTCAAACCTCACCAAGTTGCTTCTGTGCTCAGATTAATAGTCTGTGTTGGCTAGAGCAGACACCTCAGCAAACCATCTGGTTTGGGTCTGAAGACATAAGCAGACAGGATAATCATTGGCTTTTCCCAGCATGTACCATTTCATTCTGTCTGACTACAAATAATCCAAACCAGCTACTAGAAAGTCCCATCTGCACATCAAGACCTTGGACCACCACCTCCCAGTGCTGCATTCCTATGTGTGGTGTTGCAAACCAGCAATAGCTGTGCTACACGTGGTTCAAACTGTGTTCAGAGCTGGTCACATGACTGCCTGCTTCAAAACTGACCTTCCCCTAACTTTGGGGTCTACAGGCAGCAAGTGAGGTGTTCTCACCTGAGGGAGAAGCATGGCACTTGTACTGAGAGGATCAGTGCCAGGATTCATGTACACAGCTGTGCAGCAAAGACCAGGGCTTGGATTTATTATCCCTGGTTTGCACTAGTGTCTGGGCATCTCACGTGGGCTGTAGCAACTGAGTCCAGGAGTAAAGGGAGCACAGTCACATTGCCCAGGGAACTGTAGCCCAGGCATATTTTGTTGTGAATGACTTCACAATTTGCTCATGGATTAAATACTTCCTTGTTTAATAACCTAATAATTTGGGCTAGTTTCATGATGGACTGTTGGAAAGGTCACTGGCTGGAGTCATCAGCCAGGCCTCCTATAAACGGCTTCCCCCCACTCTCAGCCAAGTGAGCTGTCCTCATCTTTGGGTCCCCCGGTGGGTGGCTCTTGGCACGACCTTCTTCTGAAGGGCTTTGTTGTTCATGCGTGTACCCAAGGCTTTACGCTCTGGGGGCTTCCTCACCACTTCTTGTTTGAGCTGGAAATGCACCTGGAGAAAGAACAAAAATAATGTGCAATACCATGTGTGTGCTCTGCTGGCTCAGGGGTCTGCAGGACCTGCCTGTGCCGCTAGCCTTCGAAGCTGTCTCTGGAGCCAAGACAAACAATAAGGGGCCTCAGTCAGTGTTATGGGAACTCAGTACTTAAAGCAGCTGGAAACTTTTTTCCCCGTGGAAAATGTTGTACCAATACTGAGCTACATTTCTTATGCAGAGTTGTTCCTGTGGCAATATGATGTTCTAGGATGGTTTGGAAGAGGAGCTGTGAACGGCTCTTTCTTCACCTTTTCTCACCAGAGAGTAGAGACATAGCACTACTTTGCATCTCTGTGAATATTTAATACACAGGATGGCTTAGGACACAATCCTTTTTTCAATCACATCTTGTTAGCTGAATCCTGCTTAATCAGTCTTTCAGCAAGCAGTGATTCCAGTAGATCCAGGCAAAAAACATTCCAGGAAAGAAACCTCCATCCGCTACAGCCATGCAAGCAGGTGCAAGAGGAAGAAGGGGACAAGGAGCGTGCAAAACATAGCATCAGATAAATGGGGAGGCTATACAGAAAGGTGAAACTGGAATGGGGCTGTATGGGCTTTCCAGGGGGAAGGATGGGGTGAACAGTGGATATGAGAGCTACTGCAGAAATGGGGACAGGAGGACTACTGTGAGAGGAGATCGGCAAAAATCAGACAATCAGGGAACAAATCAGTCTTCTACAGTAACATGGTAAAACCAAAATCTGTTTTAAAAAGGAAAGCCAAAGAGCTGGGTGCTTAACCTATCAAAACAAAGGCAAGGACTGGGCTTGACAGCTCTCTATAAATACACCAGAGAGTAAATACCAGGGAAGAAGAGGAGCTATTTAAAGCACAACATTGGCATAAGAACAGACAGGGATAAACTGACCATAAATAAATTTAGAATGAAAATTAGAAGGTTTCTAATCCTGAGAAAAGGGCAGCTCTGGAAGAACTTCAGAGGCTGGGCAGAGTAGGATGAAGAGATGGAGGGTGAGACAACAACCACAGTGTATTTACAGCAGAGCCTGACCAGTGTACATGCAGTAAAGCAAATGATGTGCCAGGATGCTTTAGGTCCTTAGAGGAGGCTGCAACTGTGGTTCCACCATGTTCACAAGGCAACTGCAAGGATCACCACCCACTGTTTTTATAACCAATTTCTAGTTGTCCAGCCTGCCCTCAGCAAGGCACTGTAGGGGACACAGTGATATCAAGAGCACTTCATCTCCCAAAGGTGCATAGCTGTTCTTTGTTGGCACCCAGTTCCCATCTGTCTTGGGTGCTCTCAGCAGAAAGAAATGCAGACTTCAGCTTCTTGCTATGAGTTTGGTAACGTTTAGGTCCCAGGCAGGATGCAGATGATAGTAGAGTACAGAACCAGGGGAATAACTGAACCTCAGGCAGCAGCTGCTGTCTCTCATCATCGCATCCTGGAGAGTGTGGAGGATGGAAAGAGAGCTAAAGAGCAGCAGCCCCAGCCAGTCACAGGCTCTCCCCATTCCCAAGAGGCAGATGGACACAGGAGCTTGCATAGCATCCCAGTGCAGCTGCGAGCTGTCAGTAAGGAATTTAAAGGTACATGACACTGTCTTCAACCTGTTGTCCTCTGTTTGCTGAGTGGAGCTGTCTGTCTGCCAAAGCAGGCAGCATATAGCCACTGGCAATGCTCTACATCCCATTTCATTTCTCTTTTTCTCACTAGACATCCCCCACTGCATTTCTTTCTCCCTGGGGTGAAGATATTTTGAGAAACCCTTGTGACTATGCAACCTGACTCACCAATGAAGGGGCAGCTGGTCCCACTGTTGTTGTCACCATCTGGGGCTGATACCCCTCTGCAGAGGCTGTGACAGTGTAAGTGCCAGGCAGCAGCAGCCGGAAATAATCCCCCATATCACCTGGAATACAAGGTAGGAAGAGAAAGCACTCAGGATTCTCAGCTCAGCTGCTTCCTGATTCTCCCTGCATAAGGAAGCCCCAGAAGCACTTTGACAGACTGCGTACTGGTGTGGTTAGGGACAGCCAACAGTGAGGAAGCACCACATTATGGATCACTTTGACAATTTGAGTATGATCCCATCTATGGAACTGGATGGATATTACAAATTGCTTCAGGATGGATCAGGGAGTGCAGCTTCACTGTGAAGGTGGCCCAATCCTGGCACAGGACAGCAGAGAAATCTCTATCTCACAGACAGCTGTGAAATCTCCATCCTTGGAGTCGGTGAGAATTGGCTGGAGGAAGCAGTGGCTGATCAGAGCCAACATTGGAGACAACCCTGCTCCAGGCAGGAGGCTGGACAGGAGAGCCCAGAGGGTCTTGGCAGCCAGTTCCTCTGTGATTCTGTGACCTCTTGCACACTCCCCTTTCCTATGTATGTTGGGATAATAAATGGCAAATATTAGATTGTTACGGTATCACAGACCTACAGCCAGGAGGAGATTTGATGATTTCATAGTCTGACCTCTGAAGAGCTGTATCCGCTATTTTCCGCAACCAATCTGTAATGTTTGGTCCACTTGAAGGAGGGTGTTCGTGAAAAGGAGGTTAAAATTGGCCAGCAAAGGAGAAACAAACACAACTTGGATAAACTGAAGTGGCACTTCATTCTCAGTCTAAACTTGTCTGGCTTGAACTTTCAGTCTTTCATCTTATTCTGCCATCGTGTCCTTTGCTATCCACTGCTTTGTCTCTTTGTAGATAGTTAGATGCTTGAGTAGATTATTCTCTCAATTGTGTCTCTCAGATAACATAGAAATTGAGTTTCTGAAGTCCTTTCACAATAAGGTCTGCATTCTAGTTCTCAATGTTGTCTTTCCTAAGATTTCCTAAGCCCTTCCTGGTCTAAGATCACAGGCATATTGCTCACAGCTAGTGTTTTTGGGAAGCAAACCATGGTGGCCACACATACCGCCCTGCCTGCTAACCTCCACCCACATACCCAGATAGCCTCTGAGAGACTGCATCCAAAAGGGACAGCATGCAAGCAGACCAACAACCCACCAGAGGTGATGTCATGGCTGATTCCCTGGACAGAAATCACTGCTCCTGCAATGCCATTGTTGTTCTCGTCTGACACCATCCCTTTGATGCCCTGGTGAACCTGCAGGGTGGGAGATAGACTGATGTATCAAGAGCACTTCTTTGCTCAAGAGGATATTGATGAGCAGTGGAGGAGGGCAGAGCTCTGGGGACAAGCCTACCTTACCCTGTACCTTTGGCTTTCCTGATTATCTCCAGCAGAGGCAGTCTAGGACACACCAGCATCCCCAGAGGCCACCAACCAGGGCACCCAGCGAGCTCCATAACCACCTCCCTTCCATCCCCAGTCCCTATTGGTTGCCGATCACCAGGGCCTATAGGGGCCTGCAGGAGAAGGGTGCAGGTCTCAGGACTGCTGCCTTACCTCTTCAATGAAAGCAACAAGGGCCTCCTGGTTGGCCATCCACTGCCGCTCCAGGTCCTCCTCAGGGGGAAACTTATTACAGCTGAGCTCCAGGGTGATTTCAAAGCAGTTGGTGTAGAGGTAATTAAAGTCCTGCATGCCTGGAAGAGAAGAAGAGCGAGCCTGTGACCAAAGGAATGCGAGGCCCCCTTCCTTCCCCATTCCCATGTCCCAGTCATCCTAGCTTGTCTTTCTTCATTCAGAATTGTCCCACTCTCCCTCTTTGCTCTGGAGGTGCAGCTTCCTCCCTTCATGACAGCATTACTAGAGCCTTCTCCCTGCCAGGCAGCCCCCTCCCCTTGTGGCTGCCCAGTTCTTTCAGCTGGATCATTCACCACTCTGCCTTCAGAAGCTCAGGGAGATTGGGTACTGCAAGGGCTATATATCTCTTTCCAGTTCCTCTTTAATATTTTCTCTACCCTAATTCTATAGTTTCCTCATTGTGCCTTTGTAATCAGCTTTTTCAGGAGCCAGCAGCTACAAGAAATGTCTTCCCTTTGGTCACATTTTTGGGTCTTGATGGAGTTAGGCCGCAGCATTTTCAAATAACTCACAGACTAATGCTTCCTTTGTCCAGCAGCATACGACAGGCTTCTGAAGACCTTGGCTGTTTCTGTGGCTCTTTCCTGAGCCACTTCTAGTCTTCCCAAGCCATTTCCTGGTCTGACATGCAGACATCAGAATGGTGTCTAGCAATGGGCACAGTACTATTGCCACAGTCATAGAATCATAGAATCAACCGGGTTGGAAGAGACCTCAAAGATTATCGAGTTCAACCCTACCGTTGTTACTAGACCATGGCACCAAGTGCCACATCCAGTCTCATCTTGAAAACCTCCAGGGATGGTGAATCCACCACCTCCTTGGGCAGCCCATTCCAATGCCTGATCACTCTCTCCGTAAAAGTCTCTTCCTCATATCCAACCTAAACCTCCCCTGGCAGAGCTTGAGTCTGTGCCCTCTTGTCCTACTGCTGGTTGCCTGGGAGAAGACAGCAAGACCTGCCTGTGTCCAACCTCCTTTCAGGCAGTTGTGGAGGGTGATAAGGTCTCCCCTGAGCCTCCTCTTCTGCAGGCTAAACAGCCCCAGCTCCCTCTGCCTCTCCTCAGAGAACTTGTGCTTGAGTCCCTTCACCAGCCTCATTGTTCTTGTCTGGACCTGCTCCAGCACCTCAGTGTCCTTCCTGAACTGAGGGGCCCAGAACTGCACACAGTACTCAAGGTGTGGCCTCACCAGCACCGAGTACAGGGGCAGAATCACCTCCCTGGTCCTGCTGACCACACTGTTCCTGATCCAGGCCAGGATGCCATTGGCCTTCTTGGCCACCTGAGCACACTGCTGGCACATGATCAGCTTTCTGTCTCTCCAAACTCCCAGCTCCCTTTCTGCCTGGTTGCAGTCCTTCCCCAACCCATCCTTTCCTGAGGTTTTTTGTCTATCCCTTCACCTCTTTTCAGCTCAACACCTTGCTGTGGGTGATGCTTACCTGCCCAGCCCTTACCTTTGCTAAGTGAGTACCAGGACGCCCCATTTGTGATGCCATCGGCAAAGTAGTCCCCACAGTTCCAGCCAAGGTACATCCAGCTGTGGGCATATGAGTAGGTCTTGGCCAGCTAGAAGGAGAGCAGCCAGTGGTTACCACTCCTGCTCTGCATGGCTGGGAAACCTGCCTGGCTCTGGGCAAAACATGCTCCCTCTCACACGGGCTTTTCTAGGGAGTATGGGAGGGAAGTCAGACAGGAGACAGATCCTGCATTTTATTGGCACAAAATACAACATGAGGTGTCCAGGACCTCTACAAAACATAGGCAGTTGAAGGCAGAGGAGGAAGGTCAGTAACCTGGCAAGCTGGAAGCTAGCTGGTGGTACAGGTGAATTCTGCCCTGCTACCCCTGAGAAGAGGGGGAGCAGAGGACACTGGGCCCATGCAGGGACACTCAGCCCCATCGATGCTGGCCCCCACACAGCAAATAGCACTAACAGGGGGAGAAGATACGTGAGGAAAACTAATCAGTACCAGTCCTGATGCAAATACCATATATATCAGGGGAATTTGGATTAGGAAAGAGTATGGGCAACTTGTGGTTCTAATAACCGCTTGTTTATTGCCCTTACTAAGATTACTGCTTATTTTTAGACACGAAGGCAGGGCTAAAATGGGGCTGCTGTATCCAAAGCCTGTCCTTTGCATAAGGCACAGTTTAAGAGAGACTGGCATGTGCATTTTCTATTGCAAAGTCTATACCCTTGTATTATGGTTCAGATTCCATTGTAATCTCATTCTGCCAGCAGGGAAACTGTTACATTTCTGTCTCCTGAAGCTATGTGGGTATCATTGGCTTACACCCCAGACTGCAACCTCTCTACATCTGGGTCTGAGCACAGTCATCATTCCAGGAGGTCCTGGCAAGCCCCTTCACAGACTCTGCTTCCAAAGAAGGCTGAACTCCAGCTCAGACTTATTTTTCTCATTAACTGTTCTGACGCAGGCTTACTTTTATCTTGTGCTGGATGTCTCCTAATGGAAGCAGTGACTGAAGGCACTGTTTTCTGGGACAATGGAGAAAAACCACAGGCTTCAGCTAGCACTAACAGGATCAGCAGCATGGACTGATGCATTCCCTGATGTCTGCCTATGTTCCTGGTGCTCTGGCTGTTTGTTGTATTTCTTGGTCTTCATCATCTACAAGCCCCTACCGGGCACCCACCTGCCTTACCCTGCTCTCAGCAGACCCCCAGCCAGACCCTGCCACCTCTCTAGGAAGAAGAACCTAGGCATGCCAAGATGTGTGGCAAAACTGGGGGCAGGCTCCAGCACTGGAAGAGCAGGTTGGTAATGAAGACACCAGTGGTACTGGGGTTGTGGAGAAACTGAGCATGGCATGGAGGAGGAAGGGGCTCCTGAGGGTTAAGACTGGCCTGTCCTTTTGGTGGGATTGGCTCATGGTGGCACTGCCCTGACCTGGCTCGTGAGCTGGTGGCTGGCAGAAATGCCATAGTCTAATGGTTATTTCCAACATGTTTCTTGGCTCAGCTCCTGCATGAGGCAGTGACCAGAGACTCCCATTCAGCTCTCACTCACTGCACCCTGCCAGAGAATACCCTCACCCAACGTGGCCATGCTCACCTTCTGAAACAACTTGTCATCAGGGGTAGGCGTGTTGACTGTGCGCCGGCCGCTGATCTTGAGACTTGTCATAGGGGTAATTTGCCACCACCGCTCCACCGTGCAGGTTGGCTGAGAGCACAAAGTTGTAGCTGCTGATCCACTGGATCACAGCCAATGTCTCCGGCTCCACCTGTGAGAAGAGAGATGGAGCCAGGGAGAAGAGCTCAGCCACCTCTGGGCCAACTGCTGCTCCATACCAGGCTGGGGTGTGCAGTGTGTCTGCTTCAGCCCTTGCACCTTATTCTGTTATCCATCACAGGCTCCTCCTGTGCATACCCTGCTACAGCTCTCCCAGCACAACCCCAAAACCTGAGGCACAGGTATCAACCAGCACGTGCCACCTCCTCTGCCCTGTACGTTGCGACCTGCTCCCCAAACTGGCTGTGCTGCCAGCCTCTCCTCCTGACAGAGGTGCAAGCTGTGATATCAGACCAGGATTACATCATTTCTCTGCATACAGAAGGCTCAGAGAAGGAGACAAGCACTGTGCGAGCCAAAGGACAGTGTATTTTCTTGCGTGTGGAGCCACTCTAAGAGGATCACGTAGCCCTCACAGCATCTCAGACTGGTACCTGGCTTTTCCAGTTGTCAGGCAGTGGGATGTGGTGATTCGGTCCGCTGATTTCCCTGCTGTAGTACATGAATGTGTTGAGGTCAGGGAAGTTGCGGTTCAAATCCACTCCATTGGCATTGTTCCTCCCCGTCAAGTACCCGTTGCTGTCTGGGCCCTGCAGGCCAAAGATACATCACAGGAGTGAGTACAGGGTGGGTGCAGCCAGGATGGGTGTCAGGGAGGCAAGAACTGGGCATCATAACAGCACTTCCGTGCCTTTGAGCAACAGTGTGTTATTGCTGACAGGACAATGAAGAGTATTGGTACTGACAGGGAAAGTCAGTAACAATATATTCATTTTCCAGGGTGACAGAGGCACAAGACAAATAAACAATTTGTCTTAACTGAAAGAGCTACAAATATCTCTCTGAAGTCTAGCAGTACAAAGAAATGCGTGAAGATTTTGGGGAGGACTAGGGGGCTTACTCCTGCCCCATCCTTCATGTCCCTGCCTGCTCATGACAGTGGCATTCAGCTGCCACTGCCCCAGCCTGGGGCAGGGGATTTGCAGTCTGTCATCTCCCTATGACAAATAACTTCTAAGGAGAGTAACACAGGTGTAGGAAGTCTCCATCAGCTGCCAAGGCCACCTGTGGCAGGACACACAGTATGAGCCCCTGGCACAGGAGGTTAGAAGCAGCAACACCAGTTGAAGGGGACAAATTTGGCAGGGCACAGAGAGGAAAAATGTGCCCTCCTTCTACGTGTGGTGAAGGGGATCCCACAGGAATTTGAAGGGCTTTCTGCCCCTACCCGGAGGATGCAATCGCTGCCTGGTACCTGCTTGGCAGCCACTTCGTACCCGTCGGGGTTCATGGAGGGCATGATGTGGATGCGCGTGTCATGGATGAGGCGGGTGATCCGCTCGTTGCCCCGGCGGTACTCCTCACACAGGAACTCAGAGAGCTGCAGCAGCAGCTCACGGCCCAGCACCTCGTTCCCATGCATGTTTCCAACATACTTGAACTCTGGCTCCACTGGAGAGAGCAAGAGAGTGACATCTTCAGCCAGGGCTGAGAGAGGCGGGGAGGAGCAAATTCCTACCACAGGGCGCCCCAGGCAAGCCCACGAGACACTCAATAAATTGTGAGAAATGACCCTTCCCTTTGGAAAATGCAATTCTCACAGAGGGAGAGTGGCACAGTTCCCATATGGGCTCCCCTCCATTTTGTCACAGCACCCCTGGGAGCAGCTCAGGCTCCCCACCAGGTTGCTTTGGGCCTTCAGAGCATACAAGAGGATGAATGTAAAGGTGGTTTGGTCTTGGGTGGGGGAGAGGCAGCACAGAGGCACCAAGGAGCACTGGCAGGATTGCTGCTGCCCTGAGCCCCGGGGCACCAGGCCCTCACAGCTCTGTGGTGGGTGGCAGTGGAGGAGACAGGCCATTTCTCCCATATCTGCCCTTACACATTTGCTCTCAGTGCCTCTCACCAGCATGGCACATTCCTGGCTCTGCATACTTCAAGGTTTTCATTACTCATCAGGATAACACCAATCCCTGGCTTGGGGTGAGATGTGCTCTTTCACTGGAAGGACACAGTTGCCTCTGACTGCTTCTGTCAGTCTTGATTCCTGTGCTGATGGTAGACGGCATTGGACTCCACTATTCCTCTCTCTTACCTGACTCTAAGGACAAGACCCTGGAGAAACCCTCAGCAGCTGAGTTGAATATGGACCAAACTTTCCCTCAGGCAGCTCCAGTATGAGCAAAAAGGTCTCTTGCCATTGACTTTTCTAAAACAAGGTCTCAAAATACATACTTGGAGACCACAGGCAGACAGTGCACAGAGCAGGGCTTACTGCTTTTCTGAAGGAGAGGCAGGACATGTGAGGGATGGGTTATGCTTTCCCAGAGGGTTTTTTAAAGCAGTTACTTGTGGGAAAAAAATGTCCCATTGCAGGCTGGACTCAGCACTGGTAGAGTGACAGACACCAGAGGAATTCAGTTAAAAAGGGAGTCTGACTGTCACATGAAAGGGTCAGGGAAAAATAGGTTGTTGTTACAAATGTTGTCTTGTCAGAGCTTGAGACTCTCATTGCACTGTGAGTTTTCTGGCCACCAGCAGGTACCAGACTTGCAGCGGCAGTGTGCAGCCCTGCTGCCATGTATGGTTGTCCATCAGGATTCCTGGAGCAAAAGGCATTGCAGCCCCACATTGGGGGCTGCTGATTGCAAAAGCCCCCATGTTGTTGCTGCACAGGGAGGAGACACCGCATCCAAAAAAACCAAATCTAATTTTGGCTTTTCCGTATCTTTTGATTGCTGTGTGACAGTGCAAGACACCAGAAGTGTGCAACATATTTCAACCTTGTTAGGTTTCAGGGACATGAAAACTGATTTAATTAGATAATTCAGTTATTAAAAATATAGAAAAATCCTGGGCATATGTGCAGCCTTTTAAAAAAATAAGGTCTCAGCAGGCATTCTCTGTTTTGTTCAAGTTTGCAGCAGGACTTGTTAGCATTTTTCAGTATGCAAACCCTTAAACTTGGACACACAAGCCCTAATTACTGCATGTAAGCTCATTAACTCTAGGCTTGCTTTTCAGAGTTACTTCCCATGTCCTTCAGGGAAATCCACAGTTTCCCAAAATCTTAATGCTACGAGCTGAAAGTACCAGCCTGACAGTGGCCCATGCCACAAGCAGGGATACAGGTCCATGCTGCCTGCCTGTCGAAGGGGAGATGTCAGTCACCTCTTACAGCCTTTCCAGCTGCTCTCCGGTGGTTCTGCAAGTATAAAATCCAGTGGTGGACTGACAGTGCCCTTTGCTCACTCATTGCTTCGAATCAGTCCTTGATGCACTGTGACAGTGCCCCAGGTGTCCTCAGCATCATGCTGAACAGGGCTTTTGCAGAGGTGGCCAGGGTGGGAAGCCTCCCATCCCACCTCCTGGCACCCCTGAAGGTGATATGCTGGGCTGCAGGAGGGTAGCAGTGTGCCTCCAGTGCAGTGTGTCCTTGGGCAAGCTGCTGCCAGGCATGGGTTGCTGTGGGTTTTGTGGACGCTGCCCCACTGAGGGGGCCACAGGTAGAGGTTCCACTTGCCCCTGCACCACTGCTGGCAGTTTTCCACATGACTAGGCTGCCTGGACTTGTCGGCCTCAAATCAGCCTGGATTTGCAAAGGCAAAAGATCCTGCAAAAGGTAGGCAGAGCTCTGTTCTTATCTGGTGCTTAGGGGCAGAAGGAAGGGATGCAATGGAACCCTGTGTGCAGCCTCCTAGCCCAGAGAGCCAGCTGGTCCCCTCAGCCCCCCAGGGGCACCTGGCTGCCAGCAAGGTCTGGCTCAGCAGCATCTCCATTCTGCACAGGCAGCAGCTCAAGGGGCCATTGCTGCCAATGCTCCACAGGGCCACGTGGCAGCAGGTGGAGATCCCTGAGATCAGCCTGTCACAGGGGCTGCACAGTCCATAGGGCTGGCAGGGCTGTGGGAGTCCAGCGTCTGGTCTGCCGGGGACCCTGCTCACTGTCTTCCTGCCTTTGGAGACTGGAGGAGGAAGAGCAGAACTCTTCCCTCCTGCCACTACACAACAGCACACGGCGGAGGGTGGGTGCTGCCTCTTCTTGCCTGCACGACACTGTTTTGGAAGGGAGAGGGTGTCAGGGCAAGTGGGGTGCTGGGATGGACTTGCCTGGGTTCTCACATCAGCTTGTGCTGAAAAATCAGAGCCCCGTCCAAAGTACGTGCCTGGGCCACGCCGCAGCTCCTGCAAGCACAGTGCACGTGTGCAGGTTGTGCGTGTGCATCCCTGGGCTGGCTGCGTGGTCCCAGCTGGAGGCAGCTCCGCCTGACACCCGGGCACTGCCAAGAATCCTGCCTGGAAAGCGAGATACCCCCCGCCCAGTGTGCCAACAGTGCCGCGTGGCAGGGAGTGTGGCAAAGAAGCTCGTCCTCTCCGAACCGCTGTCCCCATCC